GTGAGTTGCTGAAAATTTCTTTTGAATTCTTTGTGCGTTGTTGAAAATGTCTAATGGGTGCTCCAAAAAAGATGGAATGTTGGCAGCAACAGGCAATGTCGGACACTTTTTTTGGTTGGATGTTTGCTTCTTACATTAATGACAGCAAGATTAAGAAACCCAGCACTCTCTAGATATGAAGAAGATAGAGAAGTTTAGGGGTTAGGTGTGTAACGGAGACCGTTAATGTACTTGACGGATTTCATTAATGCGTGGATAAATGTGTAACAGCGTAAGGTAAGCCTATCATTGTTCTTTCATGAAATACGCTCCATGTATTTTCCTTTTTTGATAAGGTCACGGTCTTTTTTCCTAAAATAATAACGGACTTTCCTTCTGCTTCTTATTTTATCCCGTTCTACACGTGGCCAGTTGCACCCACAAACTTCGAAGCTTCTCATTGCCATTGGTCTGTTACGTTACTTTGTAAAATCTGCTGCCTGAATAGCAGAGTGTTCTAAATTCGTACTCCCACTACAAGAGGCGGAGAAAATTTCCGTACAGCTGTCTTTGTGGATTTGGCGTCGGTCGCCGTCGTCTTCCTATCGGAAAATGTATTCAGCTACCGTTGCCTTCACTTCAACCCCAAACTCCCCGGCCCACGCCGCCAACCGGAAAATTTCCCTTGGTAGCGCCGTGCTCAGCTGCAGACTCTCTTCTCTGAAGCCATCGTCCCTTAATACTCTCTTCATCAAAATCCCACATAAGTCCTGCAAGCGCAGCTCCGTCATCGCTCGTTACAAGTCCTTTTCTCCGGTCATGGAGTGGCAGGATTGTGTGTAAGATGGGTTCTTCTCAATTTTTAGTGTCTCTGATTTTCCTTGGTTTTCTTAATTGAAACTTGTTGGTGGCGAGCAGGGTTAAGACTGAAGTGGATGTGCCTACTTCTGTGGCTTACAAATGTTACTCCGATCGTGAAGCAATCCCCCGCTGGATGCCTTTCATTTCATCTGTAAAGGTACCTTCTTTACATCACGGTTTGATTATGGTTTGTGATGATCAGTGGAGAATTTAATGTTTGGTTTGTATTCTGTTTGGATTAGATTTTGGAAGACAAGCCTGATCTGTCACGGTGGTCGTTGAAGTATAAAGCATTTGGTAGGAATATTGAATTCGCTTGGCTTGCTAGAAATATGCAAGTAAGATCATTAGATATTAATCTTTTCCTTTGAATTAAGGGTTTCCCCACTTTTGCTAGATATATTTCGTGTGTGTTTGATGCATTGCAAGCTCAATTCAGTGTTGATTTACCTTTGCAGCCCATTCCGAATCAGAAAATTCACTGGAGATCTATGGAAGGACTTCCTAACAGGTAATGGACCAAAAGTGAAATTCCTAGCAGATAATGACTAGCTTAAAATACTGACCAAGTAAGCATGATATTAAGGTAATGGCATAGAAGTTGTATGCATAGAGTGCGCTGAAGAATGAGGCATGTTTAATGTGCTTTTTTTCTTTTTAAACTTCTTGGAAATGAAGTGCAGTGCCACCACCATTTTGGGGACTTTCATGAGAACTAATTAGATAAATTTTGCTTTGTTAGATTGGTAGTTTGGTACTTACAATTTTTTGTTTCTCTTCCAATGAGAACTCTGTAACATTTGCCTTGGTGTGAATCTTAATTGACTTTCTTTTAATATGACAGAGGTGCTGTTCGATTTTTTCCAAAAGGTCCTTCATCCTGTGTAGTAGAAGTGAGTCCATCTTACATTTTGTTTTACTATATTTTTATTTGTTGTTATCTTCAATGTCATGAATACCTATAGTAAGATAAACTATAGGAGCATAAGTGCTCTTTGGGGGATCAGTTTATTCAATTTAAAGTTCAAATTTTGAACCGTTCATAAGATGGCTGCTTCTTCCTGCCTTGACAAAAGGTCCAGGAGGGAAGCAGCATAAATTGGAGGGCAAACAATGTGAGATGTGCTCTTCTCTTAATGTCCCATTTCTTCTCTTCAAATTGGTCTGCTCCAGACTTATGACAGAAATCAAAGGAACCATATTTTCATTGCTTATTGTTTACATCCGGGCTCACAAGGTTGTTTTTCACTTTCCAGTTAACAGTTTCGTATGAAGTTCCTCCAATTTTGATTCCAGTGGCATCAGTGAGTACTCTTACCTCAACTAATATGTCATTGCATTTTCAATAGTAACTCTCAATTTCTTCCTTTAAGATCTACAATTGAAATATCTAGTTGTTTGATAGAAGTTAAGTTCATGCTTGAACTAGCATGAATTAACGTCACTTTTCCTCTGGATTTATCCAGGCACTAAAACCTTTTCTTGAAGGCTTGCTAGCACGTGGTTTGGATCGCTTTGCAAGATTTGCAAAAAGCTATAGTGCTGAATCGTCGTGACAAGAGTCTCTACGGTATGGTCAGGCCTCAACAATTATCGTTATGAAGTACTTATACTCTGATAATCATATATGATTCTTTCGATTGGAATTTCTAAAGGAATATCTCCTTCTCTTTTCTAATAATGATGTGTTACTCTGTTGAATAATGAAAATATTCTTTAAGATTTTTTGTTGATCCATCATATATCCCTTCTGCATTTCTGTAAATTCCTAACCTTTTTGACTTTGAGTTGGATAACCTCCTTAAACTTTAATGTATAAAAATGGAAAAAAAAAATGTTTGGGAAAAAAATCAATGGTAAAAATTAACAATCTTAATTGAGAACGTATATGTACATACTCATGTTACAAGTGGCTGCCCAGGATTAATGTTAAAAACCAGAGAAGGCTATATATAACAGAAGATAAACCATAACATATGTGAGTCGATTTATACACCACCGTCATTCACCTCTCCCTATGTACATCCACCATAACTGGCCTTTCTTTCATAAAAAATTAACCCGAACAAAACTGCTAGCTGCTTTTTGTATCCTCTACCTGCAGCAGCCGCAAACCGAACGGTTCTCCCTGTGGGACGAGAGAATTTATTCTTAAAAATTATATTTACATTCACCGTGTGGCACTGCCATCCAACAAACTCCTCAAGTTGTAAAGGGCCTCGGCAGAAAAGCTGCAGCACCTCAATCTCCGTTGCCTGGGTGTTGATGGCTCCCGGTGATCTAGAGGGGAGAAGCAAACAACAATGACAGTGAGATTATCGAATGTGTCACGACGCAGGGCTTCCCTGACAAGGTCCCTGGCGCATTGCTCTGGGTCATCATGCCTCCGTAGCCCTCGGCGAACAAGGTTAACTGCGTGCTGGCTTGACATGACATCCCAAATCCCATCACATCCAATGATGAGGAACTCGTCATCCTCTGTAAGGACCACCTGTCTGAACTCAGGTTCGGCGATTAGAGGTGAAGCAGAACCCCTGGGGAACTTCATGTCCCAATCCCCCAGGGCTCGACTAACTGATAAGACACCATTTAGGTACCCGTCATCAACAAACCCACCCAGCTGTTGAACTCGCCTCTGTTCTGCTGGATAAATGGGTCTATGGTCTTCCGACATATCGATTGCCTCTCCTTTTCTGCAGAGAACAGCTCGACAATCCCCAGCATTGGCCACCATTAGACGACTAAAATAGCAATTAGAAAAAGGATGGTTAGCAAAATGTAGAGGAGGAACACCCCACTACCTCAGGCCACACTAAACTACTTTTCACAAATGACAATCAATATTTGTAGGACATGGATTCACCTTCCAAATATCAGAGCAGCAATTGCTGTTGTCCCAGAAGAACTGCTCACACTGCAGTCATCTGCTAGAGCAGAATCAGCTGAAAGAAATGATTTCCTGAGGGAGTTCTCAACTCCTTCCAAGTAAATGTCATCATCAACTTCACATGTCTGGGGGAAATTTGCATCTTCAAAAAAGAGTCTCACTGCATTCTTCTTAATATAGGCTGAAGCTTCAGATCCTCCATGACCATCAAACACCTAAAATATAGTATTCAACCTAAATAAGATACAAAAAAAAAACAAGATCATCAAAATAAGATAGTGGTAAATAAGGCTAAATCTCAATTACCCCATAAAAAGCACTGGGATTAGGGAACTTGAAGAGGGACCCCAGATATGCTTGTAAATCATCTATCCGTATATGCTCATCTTCCATGTATCTCCGAGGTCCAATGTCAGCAAAACTACCAGAACGAATACTAGGAACATATTGAAGAACTGAAGATTCTAAACTCAGATCTGAGATCATTTCTGGACTCTCTATACCCTGAAATGGTAACAGGAAGAGAATGTTAATAATATCTCCTTTACAAGATCATACAAAAATGAAACTAAAAAAGAAAAAAAATTATCGCACATGCCTAGATTGTGGGATATGTCTGGTCAACAACAGATTTCACATCTTAACAAAAATGGATGATACAAATTTCAAGTGAGAATTCAAAAAAAAAAAAAAAAGGACCTGAGAGTTGTGAATTGCAGAAGCTACGAAAATATCAACATGTTACAAAAAAATTCTGTACAGCTATTTTCCTATAAATAGTAAATTATGGGTTGAATTTATCAACCTGTATGAAGAAAAAGAGACCCACTAAAAAAATTCCTCCTCATATTTCACTGTACAAATTATGATTTTTTATCCAAGAATTTCAGCAAAAGGGTCCATGGAAAATAAGATCGAAAAAAAATTTAAAAATTAAAATTAAAAAAAAAAAATCACAACTAGCTTCTCCCTTAAGAAAAACTAAACTTTTGTAGCTAGAATTGCAATTCCACAAAAACACAGCTAAAATTCAGGGAAATGATGCAAAGAAGTATAATATCACATATACATATAGCTTTAGAAATTGAACCAGGATCAGACAAGTCAACACCTTCTTAATTCATACAGAAATTCTGCTCAAATCAATCTAAAAGGCCATACAACAAAATCAGCCAAAATTTCAAGAGAATTCAGTTAGCTTGAAAACACAAACCGCATCCGAAAATGAAAATCAAGAAAACAAAAAATAGGGAAGCAGAAACTAACCAGTTGAGAGGTCGGTAAATCCGCTGCGACGGAATCAGCCACACGAACTTTGCCGACACTCGGCGACGAAATCTCAATCTCAACCTCCTCAATACCGCTTCCTTTACCGAAAAACTGAACGTCCGGCACCGGAACGCTCTGTGGACACACAACCTCTGCTCCAGCTACCATCCTTGAAATCCCTCAAAAACCATAACCAACCACAAACCCCTCTCCCGAAATTCTCCACAGATTCTCAGATGTTTTTTCCTCCTCAATTTTCTCGCGTTTTCCAACCGAGTTTTCTCAACTTTTCTTGGATTCTCTCTTACCGTTTTGCCGAAAGGGCGAATGAAATTATTAGAAACTTGTTCCAGTTGGAGTTGAAGTCGTATATATAGGGTCGAGGGTAGGTGACCGGTAACCGGTAAAAGGCCTTTTTTTTTTCTTTTATTTATATCATAT